CGCAACATTGTTCAAATGATCATCTAGACTTCGTCCGTACATAAATTGTGCGTTCTTCGATACGTATCTACTAGTAGTACTTTGGTGTTTTATTCGATGACAAAGACTTATATTCGAACGTCGTTCTCAAACTTTCAGCTCAAAAGGCAATCTTGATCGTTCCACACCACTCCAATACGATATCCATGTGACATTGTCCTATTTCTACAATGATACTCGTAGCAACTTAGGAGCGATCGTCCATGTTGTATCCACAATGACACACAATTGGTGAAGAATGAACTGGATCGTTGGTACATTCCACAGCAGGACAAATCCATGTCTTGTGATCCCCCCAACCGTCACATTCCAATTCAACGACTTAGTACCATCCAACCCAACATGAAGGTAACAGCATTTGCCTTTGCGTCGGTCGCAGCCACGAAGCAGTCCATTCTGACCTTGACGGCCGAAGAAAAGGATGTCTTGGGTGCCGAATTGGCCAAGTGGGAAGAAGATTTCGGTACCCAAGCCCTTGCACGTGGCCTCCTCCCCCACACCGTCAGAATGGAAAGCAGGCGCTCGGAGGTGGACATCCACGACGAGAAGCTGCAGCGCCTCATGGACACCAAGTTCCAAGCCGACCTGGCTCAGATTCAAAACCCCAACGCTACCTTCGACTGGAACAATCAGTTTGCCCTCCTCAACGAAGACGAGTTCAAGGCGTTCGCGTCCACGTCGTTGAACCAAGAAGGCCACGTACACAGCCAAATCGACAACGCCGAGCAAGAGGTTACTGTCAGTTCCACCAGGGCCTCCTCCGTGGACTGGACGTCTCGATGCAACCCCCCGGTGCGCAACCAAGGGATGTGCGGGTCGTGCTGGGCCCACGCGGCGGTGGGAGCAGCCGAGGCCGCCCACTGCATCGCCACAGGCCAGTTGCTGAGCTTGTCGGTGCAAGAAGTAACGAGTTGCTCGACCGAAGGCGGAAGCGCTGGCTGCAACAGGGGCTCCCCCACCCACGCCATTACGTACGTGGCGAAGCAGGGTTTGTGCTTGGACAGTGCGTGGACTTACACTGGCCAAACCGGATCGTGTGGTCGCCAATGCGAAAAGCAGAAGCTGTCCATCGGCGCCATGGTCCAAGTGTCGGGTGAAAGCGCGCTAGTGTCCGCTCTGAACAGCCAACCAGTGACAGCGATCGTGGAATCTGCCAACAACGTGTGGAAGAACTACAAGGGCGGGTTGGTGAGCCAATGCCCTGGCGCCCACTCGGAGCATGTCGTGATTGTCGTGGGGTACGACAACGAGTCGTTCAAGATCAAGAACTCGTGGGGAACCAACTGGGGCGAAGAAGGCTACATACGTCTGCGTCGCGGCGGGGGTGGCAAAGGCATGTGCAACATCGCAGATAGGATAGCGTTTCCCAAACTAAGCGGCGGCCCCCATCCACCCTCCCCGTCCA